CATTGTCCATTCCCTCTGAGCCACATAACACCATCTCACTTGCCGTTCCAAGTACCTGGAGAACCACTGCCATCTCCTCCCCGCTCCTGTGACTCCAGGAATCAGCTCATCACCAACCCCAAAACCCTCTACTGGTCCATTCCACATGTTTCAGCACAATTATATGACACCCTGTGCCAAATGCCTTCTTATATCTAGCAACATCAGTTCATTTGTGTGCCTGCCACTGCACATACCCAGTTTATTGACAGGTAACAGCCTAATATCACTCAGTAACCTGTGGCCTAAAATAATTTTTGAAGGAACCAGAAAATACAGAGAGCTAAAAACAGTTTAAAAGTTGCAAAATAATTTTTATTGTATAATAACCATTTAAAATATTTAGATGAACTTCTTATTCAAACATGCTTCATTTCTCAAATCTGTGGCTTAATAAAGACGAGTAGAATAGATAGTTAAGAAACAACCACAGATTAATTCAAGTCGTGACCAAGGTCATTCTTCCAACATATGTCTAAGAAAACAAAAAATGGGGGCAGCAAAGTAGATAAGTAAGAGGAGGAGAAAAATGGACTACAAGAAAGGAAAGAAGCAAAGAACACAGTCATACCTTGATCTCAAACCAATTAAACAGAATAAATGAAATGAAATGATACTTTTATGTGAGACACCTCACCTTGTATTATTAGATCAATTTTAGTTTGATATTCTTTATCTGTCAAATAGCTTATGCCAATGACACATGAACACATTAACATCAAATAGTAACAGTATTTCCAAGTGCATGATTTGGGTACTACCAACTTACTGAGAGCTGTAACACACAACTGAGACTTCTTTTATGTCTTAAAACACATCTTGGGGGGGTGAAAACGGGGAACAGGAAGTAACTGCCAATGGACACAAAGTTTCTTTCTAGAGTGTTGAAAATACTCTAAAACTGTATCGTGGTGATGGTTGTACAACTCCATAAATTTACTAAAAACCACTGAAACTTATACTTTAAATGCATGAATCTTATGCCATGTAAATTATCTCAATAAAGCTGTTTAAGTAGGCAAAACAACTCAAATCATAATATGAAGGTAAGATTCCCAAATCACTTCATTTGAAACCAAATGGGTGAGAGGTGTAAGTCATTCCATGAAGCCACAAACCTGTATTTTAAATCATGTTTACATCTCAGCTGTTCCTGTCTGATGGGACTTCCTTAGTTCCTTAGTATATTATAAACATTTTTAATACAAGTTGGTGGGGTTTTGTTTTCAAAAGTGTGGGAACTGTGTATGTTGGACAAATTCAAACTAAATAGAGCTAAGTAAGGCATATCTTACTTTGTTCAAAACCATAATTAATTCTTCGTGATAGTATTATAAATACCATCCTAATAGACTTAAAAGTGGTTTTCAACTTACAACATTAGTCTAAGTTGGTCAAATATCAGATCATAGGAATTTATAAAGTATGAAATACCACGTATTCTAATAGTGTCCAACATGTCTGCATAATACAAATTACTAGTATTCCATGGTATCTCTCTTTCTATTCATATACTTTTAATCTACCTATATTTATCTATCCATCTATCTACCTATTCGAGAGAGACAGAGAGAGAGCATGCAAGTGGGGATGGGAGGGAGGGGCAGAGGGAGAGAGAATCTTAAGCAGGCTCCTCACCCAGCACAGAGCCTGCCCTGGGGCTCGATCTCACAACCCCGAAATCATGACCTGAGCCAAAATCAAGAGTCAGACACTTAACCAAGTGAGCCACCCAGGCGCCCCAAACTGTATCTTTATATTTAAAGAGGATCTCTTAAACCCAAAGTGACAAACCCCAAAAGACAGGGGTATGTTCTTCAAAATAGCACTGAGAAGTGAGTGGACATTTTTGTCATTGGTTCCTCTAAGCACTGTGTCTTTTTCCTTTGGCTATCTTTAAGACTTTTTTCTTTGGTTTTCAGCAACCTGATGATGATGTGTCTAGGTACTGGTTTTCTTTGTGTTAATGTTGCTTAGGATTTGTTGAGCTTCTTGGATCTGTGGGTTTATGTTTTTCAACAAATTTAGAAATTTTTGGTCATGATTTCTTCTGAGAATTTTCTGCCCCAATAACTCTCTCCCCTCTCCTCTGTACCTGCAACTACAAAATGTTAAACTGCAGGATACTACCCCATTATAGATAATATGGCTTTGTTCAGTTTTCTTTGTAGTCCGCTTTCTCCCTATGCTTCATTTTGGATCATTCCAATTGATTCATCTTCGAGTTATCTGGTATTTTCTTCTATAGCAGGCAATCTGCAGCTAAAGCCACCTGGTAAATTTTTCATTTCAGATATTAATTTTTATTAATTTTCTTAAATCCCAGTTAGAGTCACATTTTTCTGCTTTTTTCCAAGCATAAATGTATGCTGGACACTGTGGATGCTTCACTACTAAAAAGGTGGATTGTCTTACTTTGGAGTGAGTTTTGCTCCGGCAGGCAGGAAATGTACAGGTGGATCAGGCTGATGCTGTGGAGACTTGGTTATGCAAGATCTACAGTAACCCCTACCCTACACCCAGAACAGTCCTCTTGCCACAACATAACCTTTCTGAGGCCACATCTGAAAGAACAGGGTGCTCAGCAAGTTCACCCCGCTCTGGGCACTCTGAACTCCAACAGTCCTAAGCATCTGGCAACATCTGGAATTGCGGTTCAACGTAGAGTCCCATGGTGGCCATTTTCTGCCAAACCTTATGGTGCGTCTATGTAACTCCGTATTTGACCAAAGGCCCAATGGCACTCTTTTCAGACTGATGGGGCACCTCCTCTATGCAATTCCCTCTTCTCCACCTCCACCATCCTAACCCACAGATTCTAGCTGCCTCCACATCCCCAAACTCTCATCTCAGCCTGCTGCTGTCTGCCTCGATTTCAGTTCCCTATGCCACAGCGTGGCAGGTGTCCCCCAAGAGGAAGCTGGGATGAATGCAGGATTCACTTCATGTGTTCTCTGCTCTCAAATGAATGTGCTGACTGCCTGAGTCCATCCGGTTTTAGAGTTGCTTACAACAGGAAGTAACTTCATCATGGCTAGAACCAAAAGTCCCTCATTCTATTTTTGAAATGGCTTTGAAGTCTATTACCTCATTTCATCCTTAAAATAAACACGGGACATGTTTGTGGGAAAAGCACATATATCCATGATATTAGTAAATCAAGATATAAAACGTTAAAGAACCAGTTGTTGTTTTTTTTTTTATTTTATTATGTTATGTTAGTCACCATACAATACATCATTGGTTTTTGATGTGGTGGTCCACGATCCATTGTTTTCGTGGTGCTCCATGTAGTACGTGCCCTCCTTAATACCCATCACCGGGCTAACCAATCCCCTCTCCCCCCACCCCCTCTAAAACCCTGTTTGTTTCTCAGAGTCCATAGTCTCCCATGGTTCGTCTCTCCCTCCAATTCCCCCCCCCATTTTTCCCTTCCTTCTCCTAATGTACTCCATGCTATTCCTTATGTTCCACAAATAAGTGAAACCATATGATAATTGACTTTCTCTGCTTGACTTATTTCACTTAGCATAATCTCCTCCAGTCCCATCCATGTTGATGTAAAAGTTGGGTATTCATCATTTCTGATGGCTGAGTAATATTCCATTGTATATATGGACCACATCTTCTTTATCCATTCATCTGTTGAAGGGCATCTCAGCTCTTTCCACAGTTTGGCTATTGCGGACATTGCTGCTATGAACATTGGGGTGCATAGGGCCCTTCTTTTCACTACATCTGCGTCTTTGGGGTAAATACCCAGGAGTGCAATTGCTGGGTCATAGGGTAGCTCTATTTTTAAATTTTTGAGGAACCTCCACACTGTTTTCCAAAGTGGCTGTACCAACTTGCATTCCCACCAACAGTGTAAGAGGGTTCCTCTTTCTCCACAACCTCTCCAACATTTGTTGTTTCTTTCCCTGTCCTGGTGTAAGGTGGTATCTCAGTGTAAGAACCAGTTTCTAAGCAATAAAGATATTTTATTCAATAGACAAATACTCATCAAGCACCTACTATGGACACATGGTAATAGACAAAGCAGCAAAAGGAACTCAGGGCATGTAGTTGCAACCTATATTCTTTTCACTGAGCCATCAATAAAGCACAAACACTGCACCAAAAAAAATGTCTAATGAATGAATAACCAAGAATCCATCATTCAATCCAACAGGACACACCTTATACTCTTAAAAATGACTACAATTTACATTCATGATTTATTTTTTCCTGCAAATACTCCTATTTGCCATGCAAGTAATTTCATTCCTACACAGTTATATTTTTCAATTTCCTACATATACTTGATTTTTTTCATATTAGTAGGTACTATCTAACCAAGTCACTTCCATTTGGCTATGTCAAATTTGCTTCAGCTAACTCTTAATCGTATTTCCAATTCTCATCTAGCCAAATCAAATATATTTTCCTAGCACATGGAGAGGAAATATAATAAAATTTCTAAATACCATCTCTGCACCATCATACCAAAGAGTAATAACATTTTCCGATCTTCAACAAATCAAAGTGATACATTTATACCTTACGGTTATTTTCATCTCTCAAAACAAGCTCTTGACCTGTCATTTACCCCCAATATATGCAAGAGACGACTGTAGGAAAATGGTCATAAAACTAAGCTACATGTTTATAAAACACTGTTTAAGAACATTTTAATATTGATTGCCTTAATATATGACTAATTCCAGTGAAGCCAAGTACGTTACAACAGAAAGCCAAATACTGTACATCCTTGATTGCTACATACTGAGAATCTCCTAATTTTAAAGCCTGGCAAAAAAAAGTTAAAAGGTCTTTTTTGAAGATGATAGAAGTTGATGACATCAGCTAGCAACATTGCTTTCTCACTGTTTCTGAGTAAGGGAATATTTTAGGTGGCAGATTTTTCATCCCAACCTGTTATTCCAAAGCAAGATGGCACCGTATTTGTAAAAGGACCTCACCTGCAGAACATCTTGGATCTTCACCCACACGTCCGCCATATCGTACAATTTGATGTCTTCCTGCTGAGTAAGGGGAGCCACAACTGTGTCCTGCAGGTACCCCAGGACCACGGAGTGTGCAGTGGCTACAGCATTAAACTTGTCAAAGAGCAACTCCAGCAGTTCTAGAAGCAACCTGGTGAAAAAACAGATAATATTTACATCCACACACGCACGCACACGAAGATGGCTTACAATGGCCTGCACGAAAACCATCAACCATGGAAACAGTGCATCAGATTTCCACAGATTGATATCCAACAGTTGTATGATCGAAGCAACTTTTGAAGTCTAAAGCTCAGTTTCCTCTGCTATAAAATGGAGATGATGCAAGAATTTAAAAACCAGCTGTAACATCCCTAAACCAGCAGTAACAGCTCATGTTTCCTTTTTATCAAATTTCAGCGATCACCACACTACTACTCTGTATTCACATAGGCAGTTTCTCCGAGAAATTCAGGCAATTTTTCAGACAACAGTTCTGATGTTACACAGAACATGCTATTTCCCAGCAATAAATTGGGCACTTTGGTAAGGATGCTAATCCTTTTAGTCATGGAAAGCTGTGCCTACCATTCAGATGTATGGCCTAAGTTGCCTGAAAAAAAATACACACCTGCCAAGCAATCTGACTTTCACCACAGGAAACAGCTTAGGCATCTGCATTATCTCATTTTTCATAGTGAGAGATGCTGGACACATATTATTTCATCAATTTTATATACTCAAGGACACTAAATGAGGTTGCACGGCAGCTGAGCCTAGAACAAAAGTTGATTTCCATGTCGATGCATTTAACCACGTACCTCTTGCTATAGCTCTAGAATGTAAATGTGTTTTCAGAGATAGCTCGAAGCTTTATGTCAGAAATTCCAAGTAATTCCTCTATCACTGAACCTTACAGCTTCACTGATCACCTAGGCTTGGAATCATTCTTTCCTCCTCTGAACTTGTATTTTATCCCACTTGTTAGGTACTTACGTGTGGCTCATATATGTAACTCAATAAATGTGGGTCACAGGTATTTACATAGAGATGTTTTGCCTCCCTTCTTCAGTATTAGTCTTTCAGTGTGGGAAACTGCTTTATACATCTCTGTATACTTAGGAGCATTTAAAACATGATCAGCAAATATTTGCTGAATTTAATGTGTATACCATGAATGAGTCTAGAAAATTCTGGAATGTGACCTTTATTGTGTATTGTGTATTGTGGGCTCTCAGTTCAGAGTTCCTAAGTAGACTCACAAACCAACCTGAAAAGTAGAAAAGGAAAGCAAAAGAGCTTGTCAGCAATGTCAATTAACAAGATTTTATTACCATAAATAAGAGGTTATAACTACAATTTCATCAAAATGTATAGCCTATTATCTATTCCTATGGCTACTTTACTGCCCAATTACTATAATTAATGTGCCAGTGTGACAGCCAATAACTATCTTATGATAAAACCCTAATATGTGTTTGACATTTTAATTCAGATGAGACAGAATCAATAAAAATTTATGTAGTACTCCCAGTTTAGAACACACATAATCCAGAAATTAAACATTGTATTTGTAAATAGGAGCCATTCTACTTTTGGAATGATGGTTGGGTTTTTTTTAATCTTTTAAAGGTAAAATCATATTTATACTCACATATACCTAAAACAATTCTTTCTCATCTGTGTTACAGGAGAAATTCTCAAATATCAGCAGAGGGTACAGAGGAAGATGTGTCTAACGTTAACAGCCAAAACAATTAATTCAACGTAGGGAAATGATCTATATAAAACTGGTATCTGGCATCATACAGAGTAAATTCCTGATTAAGTGAAGGTTCTACTTTTCAAATAAAGATTTAAGTTAAGTATGTAAGCCTTATGGTTCCCAAATATCGATCCACAGACCACAGGGTATTTTTCAGGGATAGACAGCAGAATAAGAAGAATAGGAACATACATCAGCTTTTCACAAAAGTAAATTCATTTGGTATTTTTGGCACTCTCTTGATAGGAATATCTCATTTTCTATCACGATGGCAATTACATTGCCAAATGTCCTTACTTGACAAAACTAAAAATAACCTTATACTATATGCTAACACTTCTTGAAATCTTATTGATCCAAGACATCCAGAAGCCTGAGGCACACTGGTGTCCAACTGCCCAATGGCATGAAGCTCCAGGTACAGGCCTGCAAACCAGCAATGAAGCAGAAAACACTGGAAAAGAAGTGGCTCCTCTGAATGGAGGGGTGCTGCTGTCTGATCATCTCCAGGACCACCAAGCTCCATGACTGCACACCCTGATGGCCACTCAAGGACAAGAGCAGTTCAGCAACCAGGGGCAGTGCTCTACTTAGAAAAGAGATGGATCAGGGAATTGAGGTTTAGGATGAGATTCGTGGTAACTATTAACATCATGAAAACAGCAATCCTTTGATAAAATGCTGACACATTGCCAGTTTCCCTCAGTCCCGAACGATCAAGGCCAAGACAGACCTGTTGTCGTATGACCATCACAGCCGTAAGAGAGGCCACACAGGGAAGAAAGAAGGGAGAAGAAACAGGCTGAAAGTGGAGAGAGTCAGGCTGCAGCTCTACCTACATTTGAAACATCGACCCATTTCAAAGACAGGGACATTCTCCTTTGCCTTACCACACAGCACAAGCATGGCAATATAAATAAAAGCCACAGTTCTTACAGCAAAATTAAAGACTTCTGTGCTGCAGACGATACCATCAAGAAAGTGAAAAGACGGGGCACCTGGGTGGCTCAGTCGTTGGGCATCTGCCTTCGGCTTGGGTCATGATCCCAGGGTCCTGGGATCGAGCCCCACACGGGGCTCCCTGCTCAGCGGGAGGCCTGCTTCTCCCTCTCCCACTCCCCCTGCTTGTGTCCCCTCTCTTGCGGTCTCTCTCTCTGTCAAATAAATAAATAAAAAGAAAAAAGAAAAAAAAAAAAGAAAGTGAAAAGACAGACCACAAAATGGGTGAAAATATTTGAAAATCATTTATCTAACAAAGGATTTGTATCTAGCCTATCTAAAGATTTCTTACAACTCATAATAAAAAGATGAATAACCAAATTTTAAGACGGATAAAGGTTTTGAAAATATTTCTCCAAAGAAGATATATGAATAACCAACAGGCAAACAAAAGACATGCAACATCAGAGAAATTCAAGGCAAAACCACAAGATACCATTTCAGCCCATCGGGATGGCTGTATTCAAATAGGCACGCGATAAAAGGTGTTGTTGGGGATGTTGAGAAAAACTGGAACTCTCAGTACAGTACTGGTGGGGATGTAAAATGGTACAGCTGCTCTGGAAACCGCTTCGGCAGTTTTTTTAAAACATGAAACATAGAGTTACCGTAGGAATCCAGGAATGCTACTCCTAGATATGTCCCCAAGAAAAATGAAAATGTATGTGTGCACAGAAACTTGTACACAGATGCTCATGGCAGCATTATTCCTAAGAATAAAATATTACAATAGCAAAGGTGTAAAAATGGAAATAATCCAAATGTCATTAACTCATCAATGGACAAACATAATGTTGTATAATTGTACAACAGATTATTATTTATGGCTATCAAAGGGAATGAAGTGCTGGGACACGCTACAACATGGATGAACCTTGAAAATGTGCTACATAAGAAAAGTCACAGAAGAATACATATTTTATGACTCTATTTATATAAGATACCCAGAACAGGCAAATTATAAAGAAAGAAAATATATCCGTAGTTACTTAAGTGAGTGGGAATTGACTACTAATGCACATGGGGTTTAATCGGGGGGGGGGGACACAAAAATATTCTGGAACTAGACAGTGATGCTGGTTGCACAACCCTGTGGATACACTACAAACCACTGAATTGTACACTTTCAATGGATGAACTGTGTAGTATGTGAATTGTATCTCAGTATGTCTGTTTTAAAAAGAAACCCATCAGCTATGGCATTGAGTGAGGACAGCAGGGCCCAACACCTCCCCTGTAGTGAGAACATATAAAACAGTGAAAAAGGAAACTCATGTCTCAAAAAGTGAAGTATTATGAAAGCGGATTCTTTTGGAGTCTTACTACAGGAGGACATGAGCTTTTCTCTTTTGGTCGACTCCTTTTGGTTTGTTCTTTCCACTAATATAAGTAACTTGTAAGAAATCAAGATTCACGTGCTTTCAGAGCATCAATAATTCCTATGTTTTTTAATAAAAAAAAAGTCTCAACTTCTCTAAGTGTTCCCATCCATAAAAACAAAGTATTAATTAATACCTGCTCTAGGGGTCTCACTGAACTGCTGGAAGGAGCACAGCAGAAAATGGACAGAACCAGGTAGAGGGAAGAGAGTTCAGGGCCCCTCTGTCTGGGTTTCTGGCTTGAGCAACTCTGAAGATGATGGTTATCTTTCCTGAGAGTGAGAGCATTCAAATGAAGGCAGAAATTTGGAAGGAGAGATGTTGGGTTTACATCTGGTTACATTTAAGGTGTTATTTATTTAAGCACTTGGATATGCAAATCTGGAGCTCAGGGGAGAGACTGACACTGGAAAGAAATTTTTAAGAATGATAAATATTTGAGAGGAGGAGATCACTCAGGGATAATATGCAGAGTAAGTAAGACAAGCAAGGTCCACAGCCAACTCTTCCCAAAAGAGCAGCATTGAAAAGATGGTTAGGAAGTAGCTAGGGAGGAAGAATGAAGCCAGGAAAGAAAATTGTAGAAGACAAAGGAGAAGAGAATATCCAGTCAAGGCTACGCTGAGGTCAGAGAAGATAAGACGGAGAATCGTACAACTCACAGGTCCCAGTGACCTTGACCAGAGGATTTCTGGTCAAGCTGACCCCTCCACAGTAGGATGAGGAGTGAATGGCTAATAAGGAAAAAGAAACGAAAGTCAAAACACACACTTTGCAAAGGCACACCATATGCACTCCTTAAAAAAGAAAAAGTAAGACAACTCTCTCCTGAAGCATCAAAGAATAAGAGAGATTGGGAATCACTCACATAAATAGAACATAAATCCACACTAGTCTGGCCCAATTTAGAGCCACCAGAAATCAACTGAAACAAGATGAATATTCACAGACACTCGCCAATTGCCCACACGACACTAGATTGAGAAAACAAGTGTCTGCCTTCAGCTGCAGACATACTCAGGGTCACCCAAACACACAAAGCCCTGCTAAAGTTGTTCCCTACTCCCACCACAAAATTTAAATAAATAAAAGAAATAAAACATTCCATTGCAGTTAACTCAGCCACTTAAATCATTTTAGGCTCAAGGTTTTCACCACTGATCTAAAAGACAAAAGAGCAGACAGAATTAATAAAGGACTAGAGACTCCTTAAACGGAACTCAACAAAAGGTCTCATATACAAAGAAGCCTAAGAACCTCAGAGATTAAAATTTCAACTAATTGCCATTTCTGTCCTTCAGAAAAGAAGAACACACATTCTCTCTCTCACATGTACCACAGAGATTATTTCCAGAGCCACAAAAGAGTATGCACGAACAGCAACCCAGCATCACAGCTGGTAAAGGGAAATAGTAATCCTGGGATGGCCAGACAGTATGTATGCCGTTGAGGACCACAGACTTGAAGTCAGCTCTCCGCCGCACATCATGGGGCCTTCGAGACGTCATGAGGACATTCCAGATCGCAGGTTCCTCAGACACAAACTTCTTCAAACACGGTTTCCTAATCACAGGTGGTGAGATATACGTGCCAAAATGTGATAGAAGTATACTAAAAAAGCAAACCTGAAACAACAGTAAATTGTTTTCTGTACCTTTAACAGTTACCATGTGGAAGAGGCGAGGGGGAGAGACCCAGGAGATGCGCCGGATCTCTGCATGGCCCAGCTGCATCTCTGTCCTTCCTTCAGCTCCGTTAGTAAGATATACCAGCTTGTACTCCGTAAGATATAGCAGCATCATTCCAGGAAAACTCCCGCTTCGATTTAGTTGGATCTGGCCTCCGAAGGAGGCCTAACTCACAGAGTAAGGGCGAATTCCTTCATTCCTCTGGGATTCCATACTCCCTCCAAAAACAGACGCTCACAATGGACACAGTGTAGTGACAAAACAGTGACATACATGGCCTTCTGGGCCAGAAAGGAAGGGCAGAGCCCTTAGTTTATGCCTCCTTGTAATACACATCTCTTCCAACACAAGGCCCAACGCTCAGAATGGAGAAAACAGTCAAATTTCATGGGTGCCTGAGTTCATGAGTCAAAGAATGAGCAATGTAGGGTGGCGGCAATATTAGAAGTCTAGGATCAGAGACACTGACCTGGGGTCCTCAGCATGGGGCTGGTAGCTAAAGCTGGCATAATGAAAGAGAGCTCTGAAACAGGAGAGCTGAAGTAGGAGGGGAAAGAGGACGATGACAACAGTGACAAGGACTGTAACAAAGACCACTATGCCAAACACAGCCACACTGATTCTATGCCAGGCATTGTGGGAAGTGCTTTACTTCAATTATCTCATTTAAACCTTTGGACAACCCTATGAGGAAGGGACTGCTTTTATCCTCATTTTATAGACAATGAAACTACAACGCAGATAAGGTTCAAAGAAAGGCCTCAATTTTAGAGGATGTTCCTTTTAAGGGGTATTAGAAAAAAAGGAAGTCGTTTTTAAAAAGAGGCCAGGGGTGCCTGAGTGGCTCAGTTGCTTAAGCCTTCAACTCTGGATTTCAGCTCCAGTCATGATCTCAGGGTCGTGAGATGGAGCCCTGCGTTGGGCTCCTCACTTAGCAGGAAGTCTGCTTCAGATCCTCTCTCCCTCCCCCTCCGCATGCTCTAAGGAAAGGAAAAAAAAGGAAAAAGGAAAAAGGAAAAAGGAAAGGATAGGAAAGGAAAGGAAAGGAAAGGAAAGGAAAAAGGAAAGGAAAGGAAAGGGGGGGGGGAGAGAGAGAGAGAGAGGAAGGAAGGAAGGGAGGGAGGGAGGGAGGGAGGGAGGAAAAAAAGAGGCCAAAGAGATATCAGTACTGTACAATGCCAAGGGAACCAAGGCTGGAAAAAGTGTCAATAGAACTGTCTATACGGACTCTACCTTCTCACCGTCAACTAGTTTTTACCCCTGGTAAATAAAACAAGAACACAGAAGTGTCAAGTTGAAGAAAGTGTTTGTTCTTTAAACATACATCCAATTACCTGGCAGGTTTTGGAAACAGCCCTCTTATAAGTAAAATGTTACTTATTTCCCAGATCCTCTACTAACTTCCCACTTGCAGCTACACCTGTCTGTCTCGTCCTCAAGAAACGTTAAGAAGAAAATGTGAAGGAAGCATTACAAGGGGACAAGGAGTATCTCGGTATAAAGCTGTATCACCAAGCTGTGAAAAATGTTCAATATTTAAGGTGAGATACAACTATCTGAATCTAAATTTAACATCCAGGGAACCTTGAATTAGTCATTTGGCTGGAAAACTCATGTTTGCAGCCAAGGAGCTGCCTTACTTGGTCACGAAGCAGAGACACACACGAGGTAGAAAATCAGTTCCGTTCCGTTCTACTACTTCCTATCTGCAGTCTCAGCAGAGACTTTAATATCAGGATTCTGCATTTTCCCAATGACAGACAAAGGCAAAAACCACAGACTATTTATTTCCCTACCACTAAGAGATAAGAAAACACTGACCTCCGAGCTTGGGTCTTATGTGAAAAATTAAAGGAAACTGATCATCAATTATTTCGTATCAAGATGGTCTTCGTTTTACATGTCTCCACCTCACATACACGGTTTCCTAATAAGCTTGGCTGAGCGAGTATTTTCCATTTCAAACAGGACAGAGATCCCATTTAATCTTCAGGGTTATCTAATACCTACTCTTAAAGAGGTAGAGATAAAAGAAGTTACTATTTGAGGAATGCTGACTAATTCTCCATCTGCACGATGAAAAGAACA